AACACAATCTTCTCTGAGGCATGCCATTTGGTGGGATACATTTTCGTTTAAATCCGATATCAACTTCCTGTTTGTCTGTGCGTCTGTCCGTTTCATACATCACAAATTTTCGTCGCAGTTTTCTCAGAAACTACTCATCGTAGATGCTTGAAATTTCAATACAATTTTCTCTGAGATATGCAATATGGTGGGATACATTTTCGCTTAAATCCGATGTCAACTTCCTGTTTGTCTGTGCATCTGTCCGTTTCATACATCACAAATTTTCGTCACAGTTTTCTCAGCAACTACTCATCGTAGATGCTTGAAATTTTAACACAATCTTCTCTGTGACATGCCATATGGTGGGATACATTTTCGCACAAATCTGATGTCGAACTCCTGTTTGTCTGTGCGTCTGTCCGTTTCATACATAACAAATTTTCGTCGCAGTTTACTCATCAACTACTCATCGTAGATGCTTGAAATTTTAACACAATCTTCTCTGAGACATGCCATATTGTGGGATACATTTTCGTTCAAATCCGATGTCAACTTCCTGTTTGTCTGTGCATCTGTCTGTTTCACAAATAACAAATTTTCGTCGCAGTTTTCTCATTAACTATTATTTGTTTAGGCATATGCCATATTGTGGGATTAATTTTGATATGAATCTGATGTCAACTTCATATTTTTCTGTGCATCTGCCTGTAATTGAACTTGTGTATATTAACATGATAGTGCTTATTTACATCAGAGCGGGGGTATTACTAGTGAGCATTGGCTCACAGATTTCTTGTTAGTAAGGTTTTTTTTTTAACTCAATACCTCTAAAATTGCCATATTACGGTATAAATTCATATCAGTGTTGAATTATCGGCACGTATGATTTTTTACGGTAAAAATAGCAATGTTTAAATTGCTAGTATGTTTCTTTAGATGTTCTGTCATCAGTTTTTAGTATAATATCTATGGACGTCTTGGATATAAATGCGAGTCATGCGTCATTCTTCAGCGTCATTCATTGATTACAAAGTCCGAAAATGGTGACGTCGTTAGAGCCATTTCAGTATTTTAGGTCACCTGAGTCACTCAGGTGACCTATTGCCATCCGTGTTTGTCCGTCGGCGTCCGTCGTGTGTTAACATTTAAACATTTTCAGCTTCTTCTCTGAAACCACTAAACCAATTTCAACCAAATTTTGTATACAGCATCTGTGGGTGAAGGGGAACAAAAATTGTGAATTTCAGGGTCCCTGCCCCCCTGGGGCCTGAGGGGTGGGGGCCAAAACCACTAAAATTAATGCAATCTTTAAAATTCTTTACTCCTGGACATCAAGCAGTCAAACTGTTTGCATGGTTGTAATCAGCAATGAGTCCTCTACCAAAATTGTGAAATTCATGGCCCTGGGGTCAGGGGTTCTGGTGCTAGGGCGGGGCTAAATAAGTAGGTAGTGAAAATGCATTATTTCTTTGAAAATCTTCTTCTCTGCTCCTGGGTATTAAACAAACCAACTAAGTACATAGTTATGATGAGCAAGAGTGCCTCTACCAAAATTGTGAATTTTATGGCCCCAGGGTCAGGGGTTCTGGTGTTAGGGCGGGGCTCTATTGATAATATAGTGAAAATACATGAATTCTTTGAAAATCTTCTTCTCTGCTCCTGGTTATTAAATAAACTAACTAAGTACATAGTTATGATGAGGAAGAGTGCCTCTACCAAAATTGTGAATTTTATGGCCCCAGGGTCAGGGGTTCTGGTGTTAGGGCGGGGCTCTATTGATAATATAGTGAAAATACATGAATTTTTTGAAAATCTCCTTCTCTGCTCCTGGTTATTAAATAAACTAACTAAGTACATAGTTATGATGAGCAAGAGTGCCTCTATCAAAATTGTGAATTTTATGGCCCAAGTCAGGGGTTCTTGTTTTAGGGTGGGGCTCCAATGATTATATAGTGAAATGCATGAATTCTGTGAACATCTTATCCTTTGCTCCTGGTAAATGTGCTAATGACCTAATTACATATTTAAGGCCAGGATATATTTTATTTTCAGTTTTACAAACCCTCCGCTCAAGGTTTTGAATTTTCAGAAAAAAAATTTCTTTCCGATGTCAAATTTGAGTCGGGATCGAGATTTCAAATTTACGAACTCGCACTTCCGGTTTTACGATGAAACGGCGGGTAAATAAAGCTAGATCTGAGAATATAGCTTGGTTTAGTGTAAAATTCATCGATAAGAGTGCCATTCAAAACGTTTCACTCGTTCAAAGGACAAATAAAATACTGACGACTTTGTTGCACAATGACATGCTGGTGAGATAACTATGTATTCGTTTCAAAAGTATCTGTCTGTAAATTATTTCCCTCCCCCAGGTCTTAAACTGCCCGTGGTAGCTATTGCATATTGCCAGCGACATTGTTTAGGTCTCTGTTGTAGCTTACAGTATCATTCTTCAGAAAAGGGTTGCTTATGCATCAGATGTAATGAATAAAACTATGGCAGAAGTTAAGTCCATTTGAGGAAGAATAAACAATAACCTGAAGAAATTAAAAAAAAAATTAACTATTAAAAGGCAAGAATATACAAATATATACAGGCATATAGTATCATTTGTATCAGCCAGAAAAATTATTTTACACTTAATTGAAAAAATGTTCACCCTACTCCCCAATACTCCCTGTCTGTTTTATGATAGGAATTATAATTTTAGGCATCAAGTAAATTTTAGAACAATGTCTACACATATTAAAAAAATGAAGATATATTGAAAGACTTTTAAAGAATTGATTTTTTAAAATAAATTTTGATCAACATCACAAAATTTATAAAATAAGCAATTAAATGTTCTACTTTCCTATTTGTAAGCATTATGTGTCCAGTGATAAGGAGCCTAATAAAAAAGTATTAGGATACATTTAGCATAAAAAAGAATGTACAAATATATTTATAATTGATTTATCAAAATTTTTTATTGCCTTCTCCTGTGGGACTTACTTATTCTCATGTTCATAACTAAACCTAAACATAAAAAATGCTGGCGTTATAATGAAGAAAGGGGCCTCTTTCAAAATAGATAATTTCAGGGCCGCTGGGTCAGGGGTACCAGGGGGGGTACTTTAACTAAAAATAAATTAATGCTTTGAAATCTGCCCTTTGATAAGCAATGGTACCTCTTTCAAAATTTGTGAATTTCATGGCTTTTGGATTAAAACATGAACCAAATACAATTGCTAGAAAGTTGTTACGTGATACTCTGGTGACCAACAAGGCCTGTGGGCCTCTTGTTTTCTAGTTACTGTCGTAAAAGCACATTTTTAGACCAGTTGGGGTTACAGATAATGTTAATTTTGTATTAAAATCAAAATATTTGGCAAAGGTGAAAGTCGCACAAATGACTCCATGAAATTAAAAAGCTGCACAAAGTCATGCGCACTCGAATTAGACTCGGCCTCGTTAAGTAAAAAGTTACATCAACTAGTGGATTATTTAAGATTAAGAAGACACTCAACTGTACGTTATGAGCAATACAGAATTGTCTGAATGTCACTTTAAATCTTAAATATACTTAGCATTGAAAATTTAATATGAAGATCTACTGGTTAAATAACTCCCTAAAAAAGCAATTTTATCAATTCAATTGTCAATTTTATATTTTTTTTTATTTGCTTTTTCATCTTACAGAACAAACCTTCCTGATTTCCTTTGTGTTACAAAGATATCAATGTATTCAAATATTGATTTTAAAAATATTAGGATACTTGTGATCAATGGTAACATAATTTCTCCTTCTTGAGATATTATTTACAAAGAAAACTGACTATTCATTCAACAAAATTAATCCTTAAGCAGTTACAGAGTTGGTTTTGGTTTTTTTTATTTTCAAACTGAAATTTTAGGTTAGAAATATCATGAATATAGAAAAACAAACAGCAACAGTCATTTAATTCTAAAACTAAAATGCTGATATATATATATATATATATATATATATATATATATATATATATATATATATATATATATATATATATATATATTTCAATTTATTAAATTTCGGAAAGAGTGGTAATAATTTTGCTGCAAATCTACTTAAAATCTACTTGAAATAAAATAAAAGTTGGTCAAAAACTACAAGTAATTTTAAAGATGCAATGAATCTCTAATTAAACAACACTTGTTCAACTACCAATGCAAACTAAGACATCTAACGTACATATGAAATGGAGTAGCTAATAAATTATTAGTCTAATCACAGTGAATGCAAAAGGAAGTTTTGGTGCACTTTTAAATTGTGTACTTGACCAAACAAGAATGAACAAGATCACAAGATCTTGCAGGTTTTTCCTCCTTCTCAGCATCTACTTTAGTTGTCTTGAATTTATTTGAAACTTAAAATTGAATATTTTGGAACAACACGCGTAGAATCTGGTGCAAAGATAAAGTACGTATCCTCTGTTGCTGGTCACACCAGCTCTGAAAAAAGGAATTGTCCTTCATAATGTATTTTATTTTCGAAATAAAATATAAAACATGATCGTCCTTAACCTATTTGGGTTGGACATTACATAATTAAAGATCCTCTCCATTGCCAACGGGTTTATTCCCCTATATTCACATCGTAATCAAACACACGACGCCCGTTATTCAATTTGTACAAACCGTTGCAGTTATGAGACTATACGAGGGGTGATCAAAAAGTTCGAGAACTATCTCTATATCTACAAAACCACAATACAGACTAGAAAAAAAATGGCACACTCATAGCCATACAGATGTACATTAAAATTGGAGAGGACTAATTTAAAATTTAATCAACACTGCAACCAAATTGTGTTTCTTTTATGGAAGTTATTCAGTTAGTTCGCGAACTTTGATCACCCGTCGTAACTTTAAAATCAAAACGATTCCTTGCTTAAGTTACACGCCCCTCAATTTTTAAATTAGTTTAAGTTATCATTGGTCAGCTCAGTCATACTTCCTGGTTGATAAGTTTCTTCTATATTATATAAACTCAAAAATGACAGACTCGTCTAATTTGCAGCAAGAACAAGTCACTGATTACTGCAACAGTTATTAAGTGGAGATGTACCTTCTCTTATTTAATTTTTATATTCTTTGGTCTTCAGTAAAGAGGTATGTTTCTTTTTCGTTCTTAAATTTTCATCACTTCTCTCTTTATCTTATTCGTAGATACAAAAATTTATTTTTTTAAATATTTTTTCTAGTTGCACAAACAATCAAGAAGCATACCAAGTTACAGTATCGTATATAAGTTATAACGTGTGTGTTAAAAGTTTCCTCTGGTGGTGGTAAGCAGTGAAAATGATATAAAATCTTTACTTCTATCAAATTGATTTCATGCATGCGAATAGTAGTATATTGATTGCATTTCCATTGTTTTTTCAGCACTAGGCGTGAAAATATTGTCCGATATCGGCCTGAAACGCGATATCGTTGTTGTACTGGCTGGTCGGGCTACAGGTGTCGAACACGTAAGTATACATGTAAATTATATATAACAGTGCGACATTTAACTCCGGACACGACATTTGTCCGGACTTTCGCCAACCACTTTTCCAAAGGTACATAGAAAAAATTTATGTCATCCGGTGGGATTTTTTTAATCGCACAACATGGACTAACCTTTACACCTGAATATCTTCCAGTTTAAAAGATATTACACCTGAAATCAAGAAATCCCATGGGATTATGGTGGGATTTTCTCTCCTAACCAATATCCCACCATTATTCTGTGGGAGAAAAATGAGTTCTGTGGGATTTTTTCTCCTATAGAATCAAAATTCCCATTTCTAACCTTACATGGGATTTTTTATCCCATAAGTTGTGAAATGGGACAAGAAGTTCCATAATTGTCACAAATAGGATTAAAAGTTCTCTATCATAATGTTTTATAGAATATATTATCCTACAGGAGAATGGAAATTGTTTTTATGTCTTTAATTCTTTCCCTTTCAAAATGTCAGTCCTAATTCTTTCCATTTATCATTTTACATTTAGAAAGTACATGCTATTGCAAGCAAAATAATATCAAATTGGCAAAATTTCATTGAAAAATTAAAAAGTTATGCTCATTCAAGAGAACACACCATTCCGATTGACAGAGTATAACATGATGATGAATTCTCCCTATGAAAATTTCAGTACTCTTACAATTCATCATTTTACATTTAGAAAGTACATGCTATTGCAAGCAAAATAATACCAAACTGGCAAAATTTCATTGAGAAATAAAAAAGTTATGCTCATTCAAGAGAACACACCAGTCCGATTGACAGAGTATAACATGATGATGGATTCTTCCTATGAAAATTTCAGTCCTCTTACAATTCATCATTTTACATTAAGAAAGTACATGCTATTGCAAGCAAAATAATACCAAACTGGCAAAATTTCATTGAGAAATAAAAAAGTTATGCTCATTCAAGAGAACACACCACTCCGATTGACAGAGTATCATATGATGATGGATTCTCCCTATGAAAATTTCAGTACTCTTTCAATTTATCATTTTATATTTAGAAAATACATGCTATTGCAAGCAAAATAATATCAAATTGGCAAAATTTCATTGAGAAATAAAAAAGTTATGCTCATTCAAGAGAACACACCAGACTTAAGTACAATTATCGGAGTAATATGACATGATGATGGATTCTCCCTATGAAAATTTCAGTCCTTTTACAATTTAACATTTTACATTTAAAAAGTACATGCTATTGTGAGCAAAATGATACCAAACTGGCAAAATTTCATTGAGGAATAAAAAAGTTATGCTCATTTAAGAGAACACATCAGTCCGATTGACAGAGTGTAACACGATGATGGATTCTCCCTATGAAAATTTCAGTACTCTTTTAATTTATCAATTTACATTTAAAAAGTACATGCCATTGATGATTGCGAGCAAAATAATACCAAACTGGCAAAATTTCATTGAGAAATAAAAAAAGTTATGCTCATTCAAGAAAACACCCATCCGTTTGACAGAGTATAACATTATGATGGATTATCCTTATAAAAATTTCAGTACTCTTTCAATTTATCATTTTACATTTAGAAAATACATGCTATTGCAAGCAAAATGATACCAAATTGGCAAAATTTCATTGAGAAATAAAAAAGTTATGCTCATTCAAGAGAACACACCAGACTTAAGTACAATTATCGGAGTAATATGACATGATGATGGATTCTCCCTATGAAAATTTCAGTCCTCTTACAATTTATCATTTTACATTTAGAAAATACATGCTATTGCGAGCAAATAAATACCAAATTGGCAAAATTTCATTGAGAAATAAAAAAAAGTTATGCTCATTCAAGAGAACACACCAGTCCGATTGACAGAGTATCACATGATGATGGATTCTTCCTATAAAAATTTTAGGCCTCTTACAATTTATCATTTTACATTTAGAAAGTACATGCTATTGCAAACCAAAATAATACCAAATTGGCAAAATTTCATTGAGAAATAAAAAAAGTGATGCTCATTCAAGAGAACACACCAGTCCGATTGACAGAGTTTAACATGATGATGGATTCTCCCTATGAAAATTTCAGTCCTCTTACAATTTATCATTTTACATTTAGAAAATACATGCTATTGCAAGCAAAATAATATCAAATTGGCAAAATTTCATTGAGAAATAAAAAAGTTATGCTCATTCAAGAGAAAACACCAGTCCGATTGACAGAGTAATTAACATGATGATGGATTCTCCCTATGAAAATTTCAGTCCTCTTACAATTTATCATTTTACATTTAGAAAGTACATGCTATTGCTCTTATTCTGTATTTTGTGTTGATGTGCAGTGCTAAGTTTGAACTATCTCATAGGATTTCAATACATATTTATAAAAAAAAAAAAAAAAAAAAAACCTGAGATGCTTGATATTAAACAATAGTGCTAGTATCCCTATTTAGCTTATTTCACAAGGTCTGTAGCTATCTGAAATGTACTGTTTGTACAGTGCTAGTATCCCTATTTAGTTTATTTCACAAGTTCTGTATCTATCTGAAATGTACTGTTTGTAGACTTTGAATTCAAGATTATTGGTAGGAAAGTTAAGTACATGTGTATACTTTATACACAGAATTCACTTTTTATATATTTTTTACGTTCAGTTTCCTTATCTTTTTTTATTCCATTTATTTCTTCAATTTGGACAATTTAAGTGTGAAATTGTGATTTCTAGGATAACATTAAAACATGTCCACTGATGATATACAATATAATTAACACATTATTTTCTTTATATACCAACAGTTCTAATGAGAGCTCTTTGAGTATTTACTATAATTTAAATCAATGATCTATAAATTGTCATTTTACTCTATAAAACTTTCAAAAAAAATCTTTTTCGTCCAAAGTTTCTTAAATTAAAAGTTACATTGGCTATTATTGTTTAGATGAAAAAATAAATCAGGTAAACATAAAGACCATAAGTATTTTAAATCTATAACTTACGTACTAGAAAGGGACATAACTCTGTAGAGAGTGTCGTATTATGATTAGTGTCCCAGATCGGACATATATATTCTTTTAACTAAAGTTCAAGCTATAAAACTTTATAAATGATACATTTTTATATTATCGATAAAACAAAAATAGGACATATTCATAAACGCGTCACAAGACCCCACTTCGAGATATTGACTCTGTTGACTTCTAAACGCTTTAGCTTTGGACGGGTCTATATTTTTGGACGGGGGTGTCGATCCTAAGTTAAGCTCAATGCGTTTCTTTTTTTTTATATTTGTTATCTGAGTTTTATTTCAAAGAAAAAATTATCAACTTCTGTAGTATAACCTGTTTTTCTTAATTTTGCAGTAAACATGGTAAATGTTTGAATACTAATAAAGCAACTTCAGTCTGCTGTTAAACCTACCCCCCCCCTCCCCTTGCTAACTTCCAAGAATCCAATATCTTCACCCCAGATCTCGATAGGGTATGATACATGTATGTATATACCTAGAAGCAATTAAGAGTCTTTTGTTTTCCCCAGGTAGCAAAACTGTCACAATTTGCTTGGAACTAACAAAACATACACAGGGGATATTAACACTCAGAGAGTCGAATTAGCAACTGAACCTCATGAAAAACAAACTCCATGCTTTACTAAACCTCCGGATTGATTAAGTCATAACTTTTTTTTTCATTTTCAATTTTAAAATTTAAATCCAACATTTTTACACCATTCATAATTGATAGCAAACAATAAATATAAAATTGTATATATTTTCCCCCTTAAAAATATAAACTTGAATCATGTTTATGAAAGTAAAATGAATACTCGTATAATAGCTTTTAATTTTTCATTCTACGTTTCACAAAATGGGATTTGAAGAGACAAAATTTTATAGGTTACTAGCTATTGATTATCACATGAAGGATATTTGGTGAATGATACATCATACATGTAGAAGGTTAACAATATATCAAAATGCCGTGAAGAAAAAGAAGACGGGGCTTTATTGAGGCTATGTACTGCTGACTGGACTTTCAAACGCTAACCATGCAAATAAAGTTTTCTTGACGTTTCAAGGGAAACATTTTAGAGATACACAGAGACTACCCCCCCCCCCCTCCACTACCCTCCTCCTTCTTATCATGTTCTCAATGATCATGATCGATGTCCCATTTATATTAAAATTGTTAATATTTTTGGTATTGGACATTTTAATTACCATTATTTAAATTTTTGTTGTTGTAAATACTACCATGGGTATTACCCATGGTAGTATTTACAACAACAAAAATCTGGAAAAAAAAAATAGGCCTGATAATTTATTTCATTTCTTTTTCCTTTTTTTTTTGCTCGTGAACTGTGCATTGTTGAAATTAAAAAAAGATAAATCAATAAATAAAAAGAAGCAGCAATATTCTATCTATGGATTCACTTCTTAAAAATTCTGTGCAGAAGGATGCATTTTTAATTAAATCCCTAGAATTACCCAATGCCAACCAAGGAAAATAAAAAACGGCGACAAGACATTATGAGGAAATTTCCACATGTAGATGTTGACAAAGACCTGCTCTATTTTTGTAAGTAGATTTAGAATTAATGAATTTGTTATTTATTTCACATGTTACTGCATGGATCATAGATTTTTTTTTAGTCTAAAGATCTAGTATAAGATCATCCCGTTTCCTCTGATTTTATAAACAGATTTACAGTGTCTTCAGATGTTATGAATTTCTGTCACTGTAAAGTGTTTGCAAAGCTAGCAGTCTAGTCGATGGGGATATTCAGTAGTACATTATACAAGTTAACAAAGTAAATAATCGTCAGAAAATTATACACATCATAATATTATTCTTTCGTTCGAATTTCCTCAATGACAATTAACGTTGTAGTACTCGTTCGTTCGAATATTCTCAATGACTTGAATGTGTACACAAGCTGATGATTGTACTTAGAAATATATTGTCATGTCTAACTTTGTCTGTAATTTGCAAGTTACAGTTTAT